TTCCCCTGGGGCCCGTGGTTGATTCAGCAGCACCATGCGGCGGGGTGCTGGTCCCATCCATCCCGTCCAGTGAGATAGCGAGGCAGTGCCAGGCCCGAGCGCTTTGTTGGGACAGAAACACTTGAAGGTTGTCACAAGCATCCTGTGGTCCCACGAACTGTGTAGAACTGACCCAGAGCTGGCTTTGATCCTTCTCATTTCTTCTTTAAACAGGTGAAATGACAAAACTGCATGTGTTTGGCAAATGGCATGACATTCCAAGGAAGCTGGTAACCTATGGAGACCCTGAGTTAACATACACGTACTCGGGTGTTACCTTCTCTCCTAAGCCATGGATCCCAGTTCTGAACCACATCAGAGAGCGCATCACTTCGGACACAGGACACACGTTCAATTTCGTGCTTATCAACAGGTATGTCTGATTTCTGGTTGCATCAAGCAGCTTGTTCAAATGAAAAGTTGCTGGTGCAACACTTGACACATCCCTGAGGAGCTGTTTGACGTTCGTTTGACAGATACAAGGATGGTGAGGACCACATAGGTGAGCATCGAGATGATGAGAGAGAGCTGGTTCCCCGCAGTCCCATTGCGTCCGTGTCCTTCGGAGCTTGCAGGGACTTTGTCTTCAGGCACTGTGCTTCCCGAGGGAAGAATGCAAAACGCCACATCAAGCCCATCAAGCTGCAGCTAGCCCACGGGAGCCTGCTGATGATGAAGTACCCCACCAATGTGTACTGGTACCACAGCCTGCCCCCCCGCAAGAGGGTGCTTGCCCCAAGAGTCAACCTCACATTTAGGAAAGTGATGACTATAGCCAAGAAGTGAATTGTTCAGCAATCAAGCCCCAGGGCGTTTGACTCTGAAAATAGAAGCTTGCTTTCCCAAAGTAACTCAGTTTCTCATTCAAACACTGTCTTTGGTGATCCAAGGTACAAACTAAACCAAGAGAGGAGGCAGCATTCTTGGTAACATGCTAATAAAGACTGCGAGTGCTGATCTCAAATGCCAGGAATACTTTGTGAAATGCTGCTGTAGTTCTGCTGATACATGTTTTTAATGAGTAAGACCTTTGTTTTACTCAGGAGGAATTTTGTACTCAACTGATCTTCATCTAGCCAGTTTTCCCAGAAGATCTAAATACTCTGTAGCCTCAAGGTAGCCATGAAACAGTTTATAAATACTATGAAGTACAAGGTGTGATCATTTGAAGCTGATGCTGTTCAACAGGTGTCACTTTCTTGCCTGCTCTGTCAATAAGCTATAGTTTGCTTATTTTTTCAGAATAAAATACAACTGAGACTGCCACGAAGAGGAGGAGTGTTAAAATACGGATATAGTGAGTGGAGCAGGGCTGGCTGCATGTTTTACAGTCACTGTGTCTGCAGATACTCCTCTACCTTCTCTGCTGAGGTGGGAGTCTGGGATCTTTTGGTCAGTGGGAAGGAGGAAGCTGTGCAGGGAGAGGGTCCTTTGTACAGAAACCAGGCAGCGTAAGAGGACTTCCTGGGAAGAGACTGGGTTGGACCATTTACATGGACAATGCAGTGGGAAAGGCTGTGCCTTCTGAGAGTGTCTTTCTAAATAATTATCCCTAGGGATTCCATTCTGACTACCTGGAAGCCATCGCCTTCCATGCTCACAGTGAATCCTGCAGGAAATGAGGAAGGACCTTCCAGAGTCACCAACAACAGGTCTTGGGATGGTGAGTACCGAGCAAGAACGTGAATGACCCCTGTGTAACCAGGCTACAAGCACCTGAATTAGTGATGGGCTCTGCTTGTAACTGCTGGGTCATTAGGGCTGTGGAATTAATGTCTGTTTAGACCATTTGGAGTGGGTACTTCCTACTCTCTGCCACAGAAAATGCTGTGTGTAGGTAAAAAGCTGCATGAGCCCTGCTTATCCAGAGAACTTCTGTCACACGTGCCACATGCAGTTTGGCTTAGAGCTTGGTCTTCACTTCAAGACATCACCACATGTGAGCAGCCTCCTTTTTAAATAAGTTTGTTCTTTTATTGCTACTGTACAGTTACAAAAATACCCTGAAGTGAAAACACAACTTCAAAAGCAGTGCAGTGTTTGACTATAATATCATACATCTTAAATAATGCACAGAATAATGCAAACACAGGGATGTCATCTTGGAGCTCTTCTCTCATGGTCTTTTACATTTTATTAATGCCTTCTCCACCATGAAAGCTTGTAACAAGCACCTGTGTTGATGAGCCTCATGTGCCTGCACAGAACCCAACAACTTCCAAAGGTGAGGTTGGGTGGCAAACATCTGCAGAGGTGTCTGATGCTCACAGGAGCTCGGAGTGTCCAGCACAGCTCAGGGCCAAGGTGCTGATCCTCCCTTCCTCACACCAAGGGCTTAGCCAAGACCATCTACTCCTTCCTACCAGTGAAAGGTAGAACAATGCTGGCTACTCAGCCCTCATCTTTACAGCTCTTGAGGAAGCTCCTGGAGTGCATCTGCAGCTGGGTGCAATGGAGTAGTTATTTATCAGTGCTTTCATTCTCATCAAACAGGCCCCTGTCCCAAAGCAGCTCTACACAGAAGAGAAATACATTGAACACAGAAGCTGGCAGCAACACGTGGCTCTATGCCCCTGGTACAAGCTGCCAAATGACAACTTAGCCCATTGTGTGCATATGTTCTGACCCACCTCCAGCATTGCCGCTTTCTAACCCAAGTGCCCTGTTCAGATGAACCTCTCCAAAATTCAGCTAAAACCCCTAAAGAGACCATTGAGAACAGCTATGGCAGAATACACACTGCTGGCAGTGGAAGTGTTTTGAAGTTGTGAGGTACAAACGGGAGACCTGCTGGAGCTGGGTGCTTTGGGTGTTTAGTCTTCCGTGACTTCATAGAGCTGCACACCAGAGCTGCCCAGGATGGAGGGAGGGCTTTCACCTTCCACAAGTCCATTAGTTCTTAGTTCAATGGCCCTATTTGGCATTTTGCATCCTTCTGGTGTTTTTTTTATTTATTCTAGTGTTTTCCTCATTTTCCATAACTTAAAATAGAAAGGTTAAAACCATGCTACAGCCTAGCACAGACAGGGAGGCTCCTCAGGAACTAGTACATCAGTGGATGTATAGGCTAGTTTATGAACTCTGAGCATTACTTGGAGCAGGAATTGTGATCCATGCTCTGGAATGATGAGTTCTGTAAATAGTTTTGCATACACATCCATGACCACTGCTGTTTTGGCTGGTTTGAGCCTCCCATGGAGGAGCACAGGATGCCTGTGAGCTTTGGGCAGCAATATGAATACATGAGGTACAAAGTCGCCCTAAAAAACTATTAAAACAGTTGTTAGCATTTGAAAACTTAGTTGCTGTTTTACACTGGAAAAGCTCGTCTGATGAATTAGGCTTCTCCTCCTCCAAGCTCACAAGGGTAGAAAAGAGCAAAAAAGAGCCTACAAACTTTATCCCTGGTCATTTAAAAGCAGTCAAAAGGATCGGTTTTGCTGCTTCTCCCTCTGTGCTTTGTTTGGGGTTTACTTTTCTTTTACACCTCACGCAATCCAGAGCAGCAGAGTGCAATTCCTTTCTATTCCTGCAGCAACCTGTCTCTCATGCAGCACCACCAGGCTTTTCGGGTTGCTGCATGACTTCCCCAGGCAAGCGAGCATCCCTAACCCCGACTAAATCACACCATCTCTAGCTTCCCGAGGGGGTTGCTCTCAGCTCACAGTCACAGCCAGCACAAGCTCAACAGCAAGGTGACAGCACGGATCTGAATGGTCTCTGAGAAACAGCAGTTTTCAGCATTAAAATAGGAAGGGCAAGTCTAGAACACCAATTACAGTAGCCTTGAAATCACAGCATTAAAAGTTGTAGTCGATACTACAAGCAACTGTATTCAACAGTCTCAGAGTGACAAGGAAATGACAATACTGGTCATCAGCAAACGCTCCTGTCTCTTGAGTGCAGCCATATTCCAAAGATACAGAACAACAAACCAGGGGCTCAGCTAAAATAGATTAAAAAACATATATTTTCTCCCGGACAAAGGAAACTGCACTTTGAATCAGCAGAAGTACTTCTGTGCTGTCTGAAGAATTAAAATACCAGGAAGATGGTATGAACAGGGAAGTTGGGGTTTGGATCATGCATGTTATGTAGAGATGCCTCACTTCACTGATTAGCTGGAATATCACAATGATTCCGTTAGCAGTTAATCCCATCACTTTGAGACGTTTATCAGAACACAACAGACACACAGTGGACTCAGACAATGGTAGATGAGCTCTTCAAATAGGCTCAAGGCACTTTGTTTCTTAAATCATTGCCTTTGATAGCAGAAGCTTCCCATCAACCACTCCTGGGGCTGCCCTGTTCAGAAACGTCTGCAGTGAAATGTGTAGGATTAAGCATCTCCCTTTGAAAATGTGCCCACATGTCAGAGGATGGAACACAGCCTTGGGAAGCCTGTTTGCAATGTCTGTTTCAGAGCCGTGGTGTTGGCAAAATTACTACCTAACAGAATAAATACTCCTTTAATACAGATCTACCCCGGGCTGCACAACATCAGCAGACCAACTTTGGTACAAACACAGCTCCCAGCAGGAGCCAGCCACTGCCATAGAGGAGGGGAAGGTTAAAGGGCCTGTGGTGGGTTATTTGCATAACAGACAGGAGGTGCTACGTAGATCTCATCAGAGGAATTCTGTCAGGTTTTGTCCTTCTTCACCACTTCTCTTCGTCACTCTTCAGCCTTTGACTCCAGGCTGTGGTGCTGTACCCTGGAGTGAACACGCTCATAGAACAGCAGGTAGGCGCTACAGGAGAGGACCTCCTGCAGGCTGGCTTTGCGGACGGTGTCGTCTGAGATCCACAGCCACTGGCTGCTGACAGCAAACGGGCTGCGGGGGGAAGGCGGGGAGCGGCGGTAGGTCACAAAGTGTCCCGAGTGCATGTCGCCGTGGTGAACCACCACTGCCATCAGGCGGTAAAGGTACACGGGGGAGCTGAAGGACACAGAAACAGGAACGGGTCAGCAGCTCGCAGGGGACACACCCCAACCAGAAGCAGCCCCAGTTGCTTTGTCTTCAGCTGCGGTTCCTTTCTAGAGCAAAGGGATGCTCTAAGAGACATGCTGCCTTGCAATTACTTTTCCGTACAGCAAGTCTTCACTGCAGTGCTGCCTTATTCTATTTCTGAGAAAACCAAACCATTCATTTAAGAGTTCATGGTTACCATGTTCTGTACAGTAAGATTTTGCAGCAGCGTGTTGCATCAAACCTGCCAATGTGCCACTGTTACAGCACTGTTATTAGACAGAAAGGCTATTCTAAAGAATGTGTTTTTAACCAGAAAGAGGTAAAATTGCAGCAGGTAACCCACAGATAACAATGGGAACACTTTCAAGGACTCGCTCCACAGCTGTCTTCATAGCATTTGGAACAAAACGCTTCCAGGCTTCTTAATTCACACAGTGATTGTGGGAATTGTCATCCCCACGGGGAAAATACCCAGTGGCAGATGGAAGAAGTGGCACAGGACTAAGTATACGTTGGTCACCAGCATGAAAATAAGTGAGTGTTCTCAACGGCGAAGAAAACAGATTATCAGGGGAAGCACCAAGGCAGATTTACTAAGTAGAATCACGGCAGTCCTAACTTAAATCAAGCTTGTTAAATATAATGTTTGGGAAAAATCTGTAAGAGATCTATGGATTTCTTGAAGTAGTTTTAAAATCAGAGTAAGAGGGGAAAAAATGAAGGGGTAGAGGAAAACAGCAGGAGTAAAATTATGGCTATTCAGAAGGGTGATTTACTGCACCATGAACCAGAGAAAGGAGGTTTTGAGTTTTGCTTCCAGTATGCTCTGCTGCCATGGAGAAGTGGAGCCAAAGACAACCACCAAAAATCAGCCAAGAGAAAAGCAAAGTATTTCCACATAGGAGCTAAATTCTGTGACTGTGCAGCCTCAGAATAAAGACAGAATAAAGGAAGACATAGTTTGAAGGGGCAGAAGTTACACGACAGGGCACAGCTCTAACTTACCTGCATTCTGGGAATGCAGCAAGTGGAAAAGTTCCAGAGGACATTAAAAATGAAGAGGGGCAGGCACCATTCACAAAGTGTGGTTTAGTGCCTGATGGTTTTTCTGCACCTGCAAGAGAAAGGAGGCAGTAATTTATTAGCATGCTACTATTAGTATTGCTAATAACAGCGCTTCGGTTCCTGCAGCACATCACAGAGTACAGAGGTGTTTCACTGACTTTAATTTGTTACATATCACAATCCCTTAGGAGATGCCATTCCCAGCATCTTTCTAGGCTTGTCCTGAAGCCTAAGAAGACATCACTAACAAGATCATCCCTAGGACTTCCCAGTTCAACATTGCTTCATCCTTTGGTGATAAATCCTGTGAATTTTATGCTATCTGGGAATTCTTGTTTGTTTGTTTGTAAGTTCTTTTAGTATTAGGATCAAATTAAATTACCAAAAGAGAACTGTAAACTTGGAGCAGGGGATGCTAATGCTTGCTGGGAAAGGGATTTCTACCTGTCCTCTTTACAGAGGCCCAAATAAAGACATTGCCACTGAAACGCAGAAATACCTGATCTATTTTATTTCAGAGTAAGTACCTGCAGGTTTCACTGCTATCCCATCCTTCGTTCCAGGTGCTGTCTCTTCAGAGCTTTTCTGATTCAGCTCAGTCTGGCTGGACTTGTGAACAGGAACGTGGTATTTGTAGATGTCCATGATCAGGAACTCATTGAACTGCACGTGTTCATGACGCTTCAGAGGAGTGCCTTGGTTTGACCAGCTCAGTCTTTGCAGATGGATACACAAACACTGAGGGAGCTTCAGCAGTATTCCAGAGAAAAGGAGGGTCAAAATACCATTGTCAATGAAAAGAAACTGCTGTGCAAGTTAAAAGCGTACTAAAGGAACTGGTGAGTCTAGTGGATAAGGAAGTGCCTCACTGAACTGTTCCCTTCTGTGCTACTAGAAGTGTTCATTCCAATTTGTTGGAGTGAATTGTAAGACATTTGCTAGTACTCAGTAAGTAATGGCTTTGTACAGTGAGAGTACGAGGGGAAAAAGGCCAGGGAGTTACAAATGTCTGACATTCAAAGCCATGCCAAGGTTAACCTCTACCGATAAGTGCGTATTACTCTTGATGGCACTGAGGATCTTAATTGCAGACCAGTGCCCTGCTGTCCTCTGGGTTATATTATTACACAGCAAAAAAGAAGAGCTTCTAATAGAAATTACAGTCAGTTTTTAGCATCATATTCACTTGTTGAAACCAGCTGTATTTAGAACATTTTAGATTTCTTTCAAATATGCAAAAGAACCTACAAACACAGTATGAATATATATGAATCACTTCCCTTGCCAAGGAAATCAAGAATCAATGCAAGACTGAACTGCTGCTAAGCCAAAGTCATGTTTAAGTGTTTTGCTGAATAACAGTAGAATATTCATATTCTTTAAGGTAGAGACTTGATGTTTGGCTGAACTGAGGCCTTAATGCCTACAAATATTTGACAAGTGAGCTTACTTTTTTAAGTAGAACATTAAAATACTCTAATACCAAGAACTGGACATCAAGCAAAAAGATGAAAGGAAGAAATGACTGTATAATAGGATTTAACATAGATTTGGAGGGTTAGCTTGACTCACCTTTCCCAACTTCAATTGCTTAACAAATGTTGTTCTCTGGTTTTCTATGCTCTGTCCATTCAGAATCCCTTCTGCCTGAATCTGAAATCAAAAGAAAAAGAATAAAGGCATTTGATTACCTGCTGTTTGATTACACATGATAGTGCAGGTCTGCACACTGCAGACAAGCAATTCTCTGTCTAGAACTACACTTGGTGCATTAATAACACCCACAGTTTTCTAGGAACTTTAAGAATAGTTGGTCTATCCTAATGGATCAGAATTTTAAGCCAAAATCAGGCAAAAAGCAGCATTTACAGAACAAGCCCAGTGCCCAGGTTTGTGTGTAGTCACACATCAATGCTGTTGGCTTTCAAATGAGCCACTCTGGCTCTGTGCTGTCATCAAACTACAGGCAACTGCAAAATACTGCTTCAAATACCAGAACGAAAACATTATCCAAAATACTATCTAAATAATGGCTGGTAATTACAGAATAAAATACTTGTCAGTTTAGTAATATTAGTAATAAACAAAGCTTCAAATTATTCTGTGAGATAAGAACTCCATTTTAAATAGAGGAAGTCCCAGGCAGGCTAGAAGCTTTCCTACAGTCGTGGAGAAAGGAGCAGAAAACCGAAACCTTAACTCTCTCAGCAGCTTCAGATTGAGCTAGAAGGTTACTTAAATGAAGAGGACATACTTTAGTGCAGTTGTCACACACAACATCCTTCACAGATTCCGAGGAGATGAAGTGGTGGAGGCAGTGGTCCAGCGTCATGGGACGACCCTTAGCACAAATAAAAGCCCCAGTTACATGCAGCAGTTTTAGGGTACATGACACTTGGTTTTGTGACAGGATTTTTCCTCGTTTCTTCCATAGAAACTACAGATTTGTAGACTCATTTCTTGAGAAAAGTGACTAAATGGCTTCGAGGGTAGAACACTGATAATGTAACTGTGGAAATTCTTCTTTGGCCTGGGTTAAACATGGAAAACATTCCAGCCTGTGGATAAGAACAATAACTGACTCCCCCCAAATCTACAGTGTTTTGTCATTCACTGTTTTTCAAAGAGCCAAAAAGAAACAGAAACAATTTCCAGTTGAAATCACTCAATCCAAAGGCCTGTACTGGGTAACTTGTGTGCTGTCACCGCAGACACAAAGCACCCCAATATCACCTCCCAGGACTGCCAGAAACAGCCCTCAGGATATGATCTGGTCTGTTCAAATGACACAGAAAGGAGCAAATACCCCACCAGGAGAGACAGAAAACTCTTGGTGTCAACAAAGTCACGCTTGTACTAACTGGCAATTTGTACCAATGTGTTAGTGATGAGGTTCTGTATTAGCACAACAGGATCTTTTATAAAAAGGCAAGAAAAACTGTAGCTACTCATTTACTCTTAGGCTGGAGCATCTTAAACAGGGACTAATGAAGCTAAAGCTGTGACAACAAGGCAATAGGCAAGACTGGCTTGTGGTCAGGCAACGATACGTACCCACACAGTTGCTGGAATGCTCAGTGAGAGACTGTCAAAGGTATCGTACCTCACAGGACTCTGCACAGAAATATTTCACACATCCAGTGAGCTAAAATTTAGGATAATCCAAATAAAACAACCCCAAAACACCCCAACCTCAGACAAGATGAACATATGCTCTCCGCTGTCCATCATGGTCAGTGGAATGGGGTCAAACCCCTCCACGTTCCAAGTACCAAAGGTGCCACTTCGCCTCTTTCTGTCCCTTGTTTGCAAGGGTTTGAGAAGTAAAAGTACTAAAGTACTAAAGTAGCTGTAGGTCCTCCTACAGTTTGACCTCTAAATGAGATTCACTTTCTGTATGTTTTCGTTATCCAGGTTATCTTCACTTCCTTCCTCTGGATAACTGGACTGCAACTGAATTTGGCTTTGCATGTGCCACCTCAGCACTGTGTGTGGAATGACTAGTTAGTCTTACAGCACTACCCACGTGAGTGGATTTTCAGTACGTGGTAGCTGTGGGACTGAACACTAAATATCTATTATTCAGCTATTATTCTGTCTGCTAAGACAGCTCTTATCCCCACAAAATGGATCACACTTAATTTTCTTCTGTATATTTGGTGATACATTCTTGTTTACCACCAACACCATAAGAAGTACCTGAAAAAGTAACAGCCTGAGCTGTCAGCCCTGCAAATCTTTGGTGCTGAAACCAACTCTGTCAGAAACAAGGGATGGTGGTTTCAGAACCATCCTTTTTCACACACACCGATTACCAGCCACAGATTCTCCTACCTGGTGTTCACAGTGTTTGCAAACCATGTTGCTGGTGAGCCTTCCATGAAAAGGATGTGGAGATTTCCAGTGATTTGACACAAGGGGAAGAGATCCTGAAACACAAAGTTGAAGTTGTCCTTTTATTTTCAATCCATCTTGTGTTCATGGCTATAGTTCCCACTTTTGGTCCACTGTAATAAAAGTAACTGCTCTAAAACATGTTCTGTCCCACTGACACGTAATTAATGGGGTCTTTTTTACAGCTGAAGAGATACATTTCAGTCCAATACAGACAAAGATCAATTAATATTAACCCCTTAATAAACACATTGACTACACTATGAATTATCACATTTCAGAATGGAAAAAAGCATACCTCTTGTTCTGCAGCTTATTTGCTTTTGGGTTATTTCTGGCTGCTACAGAGGAAGATAAAAGATTTCATTAACCCTACCTTAGAAAGCACTGAGTATTAAATATGTTCTTATTTCACCCCAACACACTTTTCTGCCATTAGAACAATTGTGTGCATTTAGTGTCTCTTTATATTTAAGGCCAAAAAACCTGGTATGGTACAGATTTATATCTGACAAAAAGCACATTTCTAATAAAACGGATAGTTAATCTGCAGAATTCTCTGCCTTGGAATGCTAAAATGAAAGTATTACAGATTTTATAAACCTTTTGTATCTATTTTAGACAAAAAGTGACAGAAACTTCCCATCTGCATGAAGTTTACCACTAAACTGGAGGTTGAGATAAATTTCACCTCCAAATGGACTATTCTGTAGATGTTTATTTTGTCATTTTCAAGCCTCTTTCACGGGTCAACTCTTACAGATAAGTGTGCTTAGACGGACTGCTGTGCTGTGGCTGTATTTCAATCCCTATATTCAATGGACTTAGGAATGCCAAAGCCCTCATGAAACTGGGATCACTATAAAGTCAGTGTAAATTTACTTATGGAAACCATTTTTCATGCTTTAGATTCCCTGCCCTATGGATTCATTTCTACCAGAGCACTAAAGAAGAGCCTTGTAAACATAATGAAACATCTTCCATTTCTAAACAGACACTTTATCCTTGACACACTTAGGAATGGAGGCAGCTTATGAGACTCCTGACAGAGGACATCACCTCCAGCGAGTGCACATCGAACAAATGTGTCACACGGGGCTGACGATCCCGTTCGTCTTCTAGTGAAGAGGTAAGGACGTGAAATAGTTCATGAGCATCCTATTAAAGAGAGGCATAAGACTTAGAGGAAGCAAAACCAAGAGGTATCAAAACATACAGCAGCATACAAAGCATACACCAGTATCAGAAGTACTGATACACAAACAACTACAGCACTGTAGTAGGAAATGAAGGGAAAAATTACTGCTTAGAGCCCACCTTGTATATTAATAGTAATTATTTGAGCATCTGCTGCAGTTTTGCCAAACAGCTCTTTCTGTAAAGCACAACTTCATAACAGCACATGATTAAAAATATTCTGGGCCATGTAAACTCACAAGGAACTAAAACACTTGGAGAAAAAAAAGGAAAAATGAATGCAGAAATGCCTGCTTTCCTCGACTGGAATAAAAGCACAATTGCAATCTATGCTGTTTGCTTTGGCTCTGAAATAGAAGAGAGAGAACCATGGTTTATCAGTGAGATAACTGATGGAGTTCATTGGCCCCTGCACTTAGGGGCTGAAAACACTGAAAATCTTGGATGTTACATGTAACTAAATTTGGAAATGCCAGTGGAGTCCACCCCTTGAAGCAGGGGCATAGCCCCGTTATCTACAGTGAGGTTAGGGCTCTGTCTGTTGAACTTCAATATTACTGGCTGCATTGTACCAGATCTGAAGGTAATTAAGTATGAGGTCCTGAAGCAGGCAGGGTTTCCATGGACAAATGTCTAAGCAAACTGAAAACATCATTCATCAAACCATGTATGTTTCATGGTTGTTTTCCTTCACTTTTTAAAGCAAACTTCACCGCAGCAAAGATGCAGATTTGACACTCAGGGCTCTTAGTATTATCGCTTCGATTTTCTCTTAGTCCATATCTGAGCACTGAGGTGAGCATCAGGCAGTCTCACATGAGTTCTGGACTCACCTGCTCTTCGAAGGAGGAGATCTGCCACCTGTACATTCTCAGAACTTCTAGCAGGCAGCTTGCATCCAGCACATCATCTTCTGCTGCCTCTTGACAGGATAAAGCTGGAGACGGTGCATGTATAAATGTCAGCAGGAGCCACAAAGAACAGTTACAACACAAACCTTTCATTTAGACCGTATGTCACTTATGCATCATAGAACTGATGACAGGAGAGTTATTCTTATGACAGGTAGGCAATGACCATCAAACTAATGTGATTAATTACCATTCCCATCTGGCGCAGGCTGACTGACCTCATACTATTCTCCTCAGCTAACACCTAGGCAAAGTGAATGGTCTCTCAACTATAATATAAACACTAATAATAGAAACACTGTCTGGAAAGACAAGTTTTTACTGGTGGATTGGGTAAAAAATGGTACTTTACGTGGCACAGAAACCTTTACATGCCGTGTCATCCTTCCACCAGTTAAATGTACGCACTTGACTGGCACCATTTTAGTATGAACAACATCCCGAGACACGAATACTTCCAGTGGAAGTTTACAACAAAACCCTGTGAGAAAAGCCACATTTTGAGTGCTTAAATAGGTAACTGATCCATGAACTTGTCACAGGGGCAAGTCTGACACAGGCTACCAAATGGGGCCTGGAGGCTTTAACATTTTTATCCAAGATCATACGAAGGATCTCATTTAACAGTCCCTGGTTTGGGTAAAATAGCAAGCTTGGAAAAAAATCCTTAAAATTATTTTATAATGCATTCTTTTATAGAGAATTCTGAGTGCCCATTTAACTGTGATAATATTTTCCTATTTAATTATGCTGAGCCCATATGCTGGTTTAACCCTTAATACTCTGAAGAGCAAATACGTTAAAGCCTGTGGCACTGGGTTCCATAACCACATTTTGAGCACCCCTGTTGCCCTCTGCCTCAGATTATTCAACCTGCTGGCAAACAGCTTCTCCAAAGCAACGTGCATGATGCTGGGGTGGATGCTTCTCCATTGAATTCAATATTTAAATTGAAATTAAATTAAAAAGAGAGTACAAGGCCACAGGAGCTGCATTTCTTTAGGAAAGGAGGTGAGGAACGATAACATTTATGCTAACTATTTCCTTCTTAGTTAATTGCAACATGGAGAACATTGAAGTACCTCTTAAGAGACGCAGCAAGGTGACTGACAGGTACTGGTGCTCAGTGGACTGGCTCTGCTCTGTCTTGTACTGTGCTGTGAATTCCTCCAGCCACTTGATGAAAGACGGGCAGGAGGACAAGCCTTGCAGCAAAGAGTTCATGAAACACGTGTTTCCCAGGTTCAGAAGGCCAGGTACGAGCCCTGCAAACAGAAGTGAGGGAGTTGACAACATAAAGTCTAGGGAAAAGTGGCTATTTTTCAGTAGCAAGTGTTGAGATAGGTATCAAAATGCAATTATCTCAGTTTATTTAGTACTTGTACCCAAGGAAACCAGTGTACAACAGCACACTGCAACGTGCTTTTATATCCACGGTGGTCTCCGAGACACCAGTGTCATATATTTAGATTTCCCTGGAAAATACTCTTTTTTCCCTGGTAGGAACAGATCTCTACCAGCAGCACTAAGGCTCAGCATTATCTGCACGTTACCCTACGAACTATAGCATGTTGGCTTACAAAATATGTGTAGGACGCCCCAGTTGTGCAAGTTTACAGGAGCCCACAGCGTCAGTGCTGCCCCATTGCAGCTTCAGCCCGGTTTGGTGCAGCTTTCTCTTTGGTTCAGATCAGCAGTTTGTGATTTAAACTCCTGAGATGCCAGGGATTGATAAGAAGTATTTCTGTGCAGCTCTGCTCAGCACAAGACCTTCCCTTCTCTTGTGCTAACGTTCAGCAAGGACACGTTTGTTTTGCATTCCAAAATGCCAAATAAAGTGTGTTATCTGCAGCTTGTCACAAGATGTGAAAATATGTCTGGTGAGTCAAGGTTTTAGAAGAAATAAGTGTGAGTAGGGACAGGACAAGGGGAATGGCTTTAACCTGCCAGAGGGGAGACTGAGATGAGCTCTGAGGCAGAAGCTCTTCCCTGTGAGGGTGCTGAGGCGCTGGCACAGGGTGCCCAGAGAAGCTGTGGCTGCCCCATCCCTGGCAGTGTTCAAGGGCAGGTTGGACACAGGGGCTTGGAGCAACCTGCTCTAGTGGAAGGTGTCCCTGCCCGGGGCAGGGGTTGGAGCTGGAGGAGCTTTAAGGTCCCTTCCAACACAACCCAGCCGGGACTCTACGAAAAACGCCAACTGCACAGTTAATACAGTGCGTAAGTAACAAGACCCCTCTGCTCAACACCTCTATTTAAATTGGCTGCACTTCCAAACAGGACAGTGACCACAATTTATCCTGCCACCATAAAAT